CTTTTTTCTTTTTATTTTTTTTAATTTTTATTTTCATTTCCTTTTGGTAACTTTTTGGTTTTCTTCTCAAAAAAGCTTTTTCTCAAAAAAGAATTAAAGAGAAAAAAAAGATACTAAATCATAAATATACCAACATTGAACATGTTAATGTTGAAAGATATTAATGTATTAAAATAGAAGTGAATAAGAACAAACAATACCAAAATGTCCTTTAATTAAGTTACCAAATTAAATGCTATTGTAACGAATCTTTTACCGATAATGCTTGTAATACGCAAGAAATAAAGGGAGAGAGAGAGAGAGAGAGAGAGAGAGAAATATAGGAAATAGCCATGAAAATACGAAAAGGGTACAAATTCGTTGGCTATAACACGGTGACGTAGGCGAAGCACAGGTGGCTGCTCATTTGCAGATCGTTTCTTCTAATTATCCTCATTATCAGCACACGTAATGCCGATGCGACAGGTGCTTCCGTTGCATTTGTTGAATTCTTTTTTCTTTTACTTCTTTTTATTTCTTTTTATTTCTTTTTATTTATTTTTTCTTGTTTATATATATGTGTTTGTGTATATGTGTTTCTGAGAGGACAAAGAAAAAGGGTAGGTTAGAGGGGAGTAAACCCTTGAAACTCGTTTTGGCACGACCAGTAAAGTAAAAGCAGAGAACCACGATAAAAATTGACGTTGAGTAGTAAAACGTGGCATTGCCAGCTACTCTACGTTTACGTTGGTCGTCGATAAAATTATTCGACCTTTTCACGAATTTACTCGTCCATTAATTAGTGCTCTCTCACTGAGAGGCGAGGCAAAATGACGCAGGGTACACGCAACCAAGCGGCTTTTTGACAATCAAACAAGCTACAATAATTTCTCAAAATGTACGGTAATTATGATTGTAGATTGTAAATTACGAATCATTGTTGGTATATATGTATGTGCACGTTGTGTGCACGCGAACATTTTAATTCTATTCTCGTTTCATGTATATATTATCGTTTATCTTCTTTTCCTTTAATCTTTTGCACACCAATAGTTTTACTATTTAACTTTATTACCCCAAATACTGTTATGATATTTTTGATTTTATTAAAAACATATTTAGAATATAAGTTTAAATGTAATGACATAGAATATATATTTTATGATCGCGAATACGTTGTTTAAACTTTTCCTAATTTAATTTTAAAAATAATATTATGGCATGCTGTTAAATAACTTTTTTTTTTTCAAAACGTTTCGAGAAACTTTCGCGAATTGAAAAAAAATTTTTCAATTTTCTAAATTTTTATTTTATTTTATTTTTTTAAATTAAATTAATGCAATTAAACAATTTTACAATATTATATACTCAATTTATAGTCTTAAAAAACAAAGTTTTTCAAAAAAAAAACATTTTAAAATTTGAAAAATGAAAAATTTTTTTTAATTAAATAAAAAAAATAAAAAACTAACTTGGCCCACTCTGGGACTGGCGGGGATAATCGCAGAATTAGTCAAAGTTCTTTTTTAGAAAATAAAAAAAAAATTAAAAATGGCGAACTTCGAGAAAACAACGGTTTTTCTTAAAATAATGCGAAAATTTCATGGATTTTATAATTTAAAAATTGTTTCGTATTTTTTCTGAAAAATACATTTAGAAACAAAAATTAAAAAAAAAAAACGTTTCAAAGTTGAATTTTAAAGAAGTTATAGCCATTTAAATAAAAAAAATCCATTTTTTTTCAAAAATTAATAGTTTTTTTTGAGTTTGGGAAAAAAATTTGAAAAACTTCTGAAAATTGTTTTTCATAGGGTAGAATAGGATAAAAAACTTTCAGCCAAATCGAAAGGGGTCGGGGTCAAAAGTGGCCGATTTGACGTGGAATGCCATATATATATATATATTAGGGTGGGTCAAAAAATCAATTATTTTTTTTTTTACAAGTGCCACGGAAAAATGGGTTGCTAGACACCTTAGAAGAATTTTCAYCAAATATGAGCTCTTAATTTCAATAGGAAGATCCTCCGCATCGCAGTTTTTTATTTTTTTCTCAGTCCAATAGAATAAAATTCATACCTCATCATTAATTGATTGTACAGAAAAATGTTCTAGATGAATTTTGTAGGAAATTTAATGCTCTACAAAAAAAGTATCTTAATTTTTTCCGTAAACCTCACCATTTGAATGATATTGAAGATTTAAGTTTGATTATTTTAAGACAAATTTCATTTTTGTTTATGAATTTTATAACTCGACAATAAATGCTTATTATAAAATGCGCAATACAAATTTTTATAGGAAATTAACTGCTCTATAAAAATGGTGTCTTATGTTTTGGCGATTAAACTAAGCGTTCAAAAGATATTCAGAGACAGAAATCAGTACACATGAAAGTTTGAAAAATATAAGATACCTTTTTTGTAGAGCATTAAATTTCCTACAAAATTCATCTAGAACATTTTTCTGTACAATCAATTAATGATGAGGTATGAATTTTATTCTATTGGACTGAGAAAAAAATAAAAAACTGCGATGCGGAGGATCTTCCTATTGAAATTAAGAGCTCATATTTGRTGAAAATTCTTCTAAGGTGTCTAGCAACCCATTTTTCCGTGGCACTTGTAAAAAAAAAAATAATTGATTTTTTGACCCACCCTAATATATATATATTTAACTTATTACTATTTAATTTACTGTTTATCGATGATTTAAATTTACATATAAATTTAAATCATTGATAAACTGTAATAATCGTTATGATTAACAATACGTGACAAAAAGATAGAATTAATTATTGAACATATTTATGTCAGCAATATTGTAATATTAATATATAAAGTCAGTTTCAAATGACTTTATCCTTTTTGTCAAAGTTCATCAAGTAATTCAGTTCCCTAGTGGATCGTAGAAGGAGAGAAAGCCCGAGGCAGAGAATCGAGCTTCAACGTTGGATGATAAACTGAAAACAATACGAAGGTCGACGTTTGACCGTGCGCAAGACACGATCATGCTTTCAGCTTTTAGCTTAAAGCTTTAAAGCGTTGCTCTGATAACGCTGATGTGAGTCGACTCGTATATACCAGCAAGAAAACTATTTCATAACTGGGTCAAGCCGTGTGCTGGCTCATTCGGGAGAGTTCGTTGCTGGGTTCGGAAGAGGAAAATACAAGGAGTTTGTGGAAAAGAAATGGAAGAGTGAAAAACGTCGGTGAGACTTTTTCCTATAGCAAACTTTTTTTTCTTCTTCTATATACTTTTAAATCAAGGATTTTCATATTTTTTTTTTACATCTCCATCTAATATACGATATTTAATATATTACCATATTTACACGTAATTATATGTTATCATATGTGTTACGTGAATATTTATGAACATTAATTTGATCAGTATTTTGTTTAATGGTTAATATGAATATTTTATTCGATTTAACTAATTAGTGTATTTAAAATCGCATTTGGTGCTTTTATTGACAAACACGTGTTATTATGTGCTAACGTTTTATCATAATTACTGACTATATATTTAATATACTTATTTGATAAATATCAGATAATTATTAATTTTAACAAGATTATTCACTCAAATTGGCGATTAATTAATATGAATGATTTCTACTTTTTGTTTTACTTTATTTTCTTTTTATATGGAAATTTATGGGATCGTGTACGTAAGTCGAAGTGAAGAAAAAAAAAGAAAGAAGTAAAGAGAAGGATAAAGGATATATGTTAAAATTCTAATCAAAATTTTCTTTAGAAAAGAGATGCAAATTATATTAGCTAGTTTTTCCTTCGCAAAAGAATCTCATTTTTCGTGGATCCTAACCGAGTCAAGAACGAGATTGACACGTGAAAGGAATAACCAAGAAGATCACGGCGAACCACAACACAAAACACGCTTTTCTTATCGCTAACGTTACTCGCATATTCAAAGTAGTAGCGTATATAAGTGTACGTCATGAGGAAGTTCGGTTTAACTTTTGTCATGACCCTTTGTAAGAACAATCTTTATCTTTCTCTTTCTATCTCTTTTATAAAAAATGGAGAAATTATTTGTACCTGTCTCTCTCTCTCTCTCTCTCTCTCTCTCATGTTTTTCTTGTTTTTTTTTCTTTGTTTTTTATGTATATATATGTGTATATATATATTTTTTTTTCTTCGATAAGCAATATAAAAAGAAAGAAATAAAAATTTCAAATAAATTATTGATCAGAATATTTTTTTTCTTCTTTTATCTTTGATACCTAAATGGTTAAAGTAATTTCAACATTCTGTCCAACGTTGTAATGGACATTATCTATCTATCTATCTATCTATCTTCAGAGACTTTCTCATAAATTTGAAAAGTTCTCCAAGTTACTTTATCTATTCGATTTCCCACGATATGATGATTCCAGCATATTGCTCTAGCTCTAACATGAAACTTTCTCTCGAATACTACGGATTTCGGAGTATCATAATCGTAGTTGAGTTTGTAGAAAAGCTAGGAGATCGGAATAATATGTCGCTCATTTTGAAACTAATAGGAGAATGAAGAACTAAAAATGAGGAAGAGATGATGGAGAAGGAAGAAGAAGAAGAAGAAAAAAAATGAGGACAACGGTGAATCTTGAAATTACAACGAATCAAATTTTTCTTAACTTAACAAAAATATCTACCCGGAGAATTAGAAGGATCAACGTTTACTTTCAAATATTTCTACAACGACGAGTGGTAAACCGCTCGTTTCCTTACATCGTATATAGAACTTCAATGCGATTTTCGAGTTCTTTCATGCGATAAAATTGAACTCACTCGACAATCCCCCCCTTATGATTATAAACTCTACGTCTGAGGAAGTAGTTTTTCAATTTTTCGATTTATTATTACGTTTCGTGAATGTCGTCAAAATTTTAGTCAACCTGAAACGATTGGTTTGTTGATACGTTGCCAATAGAAATGTATTAAAATTTCAAATTAAATATTATTGTGAGTTATCATCGATCGACGATAGAAAAATTATGATTTACGATTAAAATATACCTTCTTTAGCCTGGACGTATCCGTGAACCTCGCAATAGCTGCCAGCTGGTCCAGCAGCACCTGGAGTATCCAGGGTGTAAAGAGTATTGGCTGAAGATGTGAGAACGTCATCGGGTGTATGAATAAGACCTGTTGCCTGTGACAACGTTCGTTGCTGATGACGTTGTTGCTGCTGCTGCTGCTGTTGCTGTTGTTGCTGATGTTGGTGTTGGTGTTGCGAATGTTGCTGAAGTTGATGCTGCTGCTGTTGTTGCTGCTGCTGTTGTTGCTGTTGATGTTGTTGCTGGCTAGCAAGCATCTCCTCGTGTCGGCACTTCGAGCAACGACGCATCTCCGAACGAACTCGTAGCAGCCAGACCATGCCGAAGAGTGCCATAGCAACCTCGAGTCCCGGTGACCTCGATGGATGCTTCATGCTCGCTGAATCAAGCACATCGAGGCTCAACGAGCCAACGCGACACATATCACCGATCTCCCGACCGATCACTCACCGATTTGCGAGGAATATTCTCGCTTTTTTAATATAAAAATGTTATTTACGATATTTTTTCCGTCCTATCTTTATCATTAATATTATCACTTTACTCGTTCTTTTTTTATTTTTATTATTATTATTTAATTATTAATATTTTGATAAAGTATTTACGTGTAGAAATTCTATAACTTTTATTGTTATTTTAATTGTGCTAATGATTGACCATATTCACCGGCAGTGTTCAAGATATCGAATTTTAAGGAAGTCCTGTTGTATTTATTTACAATGGTGTTTGAGTTTCCTTGCTTAAAGCTTTAATAAGTTTCACTAGATTTAAAGGGTTTCCTGTAAACCTTCTTCCTTTCCACATCAAAGTATGATCGTCGTGTTTGGCCGAGGAAATGAGAATTCTCTACGTAAGCAGGAACTTTGTTAAACAGCAGGATGAACGATTAAACCGTCGGGATTGGTGAACGGTGAATAGATCTTTCGTTAGAAACTTCGTCGATCTCAGCGAATCGAAGGCACCAAGGTTTCTTCCAACTTGGATTGGACCCAAAGAAGTAACGATTTTTCTTTCTGTATTGTTAAATCTTACAAAAATGAAATGAAAAAAAAATAAGAAATACGAAAGAAAACATGCGAAATTTGATTTGTATAATCGAAATCCTTTTCATCTTCCACGTTGTATAGGAACCGAACACCGACGAGTTATTTGTCGTTTTTCTTCAAATTTATTCTAAGAACATCGATCACGAGGAATTTTCAGTCTTTCCATCGTCTTCTTTCGACTTTCTTCGTGTTCCCTTCCTCTTGGGTAACTCGCTATAATTCATCGACTCGGACACTGTCGTCATTTTATGGAGCAGCACGACAATAGACAACGTTTCTATTGAAAAGTATACTTCAGAATTTCCTCTTTGGTCTGTACGAATGAGTAGTGGGGATATGGGTCAGTCACCACCGCTATGACCACCACCAAGAACCATCAACAACACCCACTATTACCTTCTTCCTTCTGGCTTTGGACACAAAAGTATCCAAACTATAGTGAATTCGCGATAACCTGAACTTTCTTTATCTTCTTATTTCTATTCTCCTTCGTCTTATTTTTCTTGATCCGCTTCGATGCTCCAGGGATTTCGTTCGCAGTGAGTGAATAAAAGTCAAACCCTTTCTCACCCCCTCCCTTCGTTTTTCAGCCTTCTCGTTCTTGCTTATATATCCTCCTGTAAAAGTATTCCGTAGAAAGAGAGTAGAAGAAGAAGAAGAAAAAGAAGAAGAAAAAGAAGAAGTAGTAGTAGTATTAGACTTTTGATAGTGATACTGCTCGTACTATTTTTCATACTATTTTTCGTATTACAGTTTGTACTACTGTTCGTACTATTCTTCATACTACTGTTAATACTACTGTTCTTATTATTGATCGTACTACTGTTCGTACTACTTCTACTGCCACTACTTTTTCTCCTCTTCTCTTCTTCTTCTTCTTCTTCGTCACGAATCTTCCACCATTTTCGAGCATAGCCCGGCAGCATAGCGAAAGATTACACTCGAGTAAGAAACTATCTCTTTTTTCTCTCTCTCTCTCTCTCTTTCTCTCGGTGTGTGTTTATCTTTTCGAGTTTCCTTCGGGAGAATTTTTCTTCCTTTTCTTTGTTTCTTTCTTCCTTTCATTCTTTTTTTCTTTTTCTTTTTCTTTTTCTTTTACATTTCCCTCATACTTCTTTTGCAAATATAAACGAATCGTCATCGTCTTGAAAGTAGAAGAAGACGACGACGACGACGACCTATGACTCCGAGAAGAACTTTGTTTTCAAAGACTTCAACGTTAAAACTAAAGTATAACGAGATACGTTGCATGTAAACGTAGAATCGAACGCTCTAGAAAAAAAAAGAAAGAGTATAATATCTATTAATATTCTTTTGTTTAATTTTGACAAAACACTTTTAAAGATGTAATCAAATGATTGACATCATTAGGAACAAACTAAGAGTATAATAACAATCGATTTAATCGACGATAATTTAAACGAACAAAACGAAATAAATTTCAGATCTTTCTTATTTTTCTTTTTCTTCTTTTACTTTTACTTTTATTTTTTATTTTTCTTCCGTGCGCGTCGTATTTCTTAAAAATTCAATTCGAATCGAAAGATGACAATGTCGTAAATGTAAATAGTTTTTGTTACTCGGGAAGGGTTAGAACGTTTGCTTCGAAAGTTCAGAGGTTGACTTTGCTTTTAAAAAGAGAAGGAAAGAGACGAAAGAGAAGATTGAACAAGGGTAAATTGCAACACGAAAGGTGGAAAAGCTTGATATGTGTATGTGTATGTGTGTGTGTGCTCCGAATATCGCTGGCACTCGTCTACTCGAACGCGAAAGCTTCGTGTCTCGCACGTACTAGCAGCAATTAAAACTCGACTAAATCCTATTTCATATCCTACCCGCTTCTCTACGTCTATTCCCAAGCTATCATTATCTTCCTCTCTCTCTCTCTCTCTCATTCACTCTCTCTTTTACACACATACACACTCACACTTTTCATCGTATGCTATTCCCAAGTCTATTTTATCCATCGACTCGCCAAAGTAAAATCTATTTACGTTTCTTGGACCCTATCGTTCGATAAACTTTTATCAAAAATTTTGTATAGACTATCAAACGAGAAACTTCTTTTTCTTCTTCTTCTTTTTCATTTCCGACCGTGGTCTTGTATCCTAAACCTATTCAAAAAATTATTGTGTTTTATATTTTCCTTTGATTTTTAAAAAGTACAATTCTATGAGTAATTGATTAGTTCGCTTGAAAAATAACTTACTTGGACGTAATTTTTTGTAGAAATTTTATATCGATGATATTATTGACAACCTAAGTCCCGACTAAAAAAATTTGAAAATGTTATTGCTGAAATGCAATCCTTGAAATGGAACCTGTTACTGCGTTTACTATCGTCAGGAATGGCAATACGAAGAGAAAGGGGCGGTGAACAAAAGAAATGCATTCAATGAATATAATTCAGGTAGCATTAGGAAAGGAAGCAATTATGAATTTTCCCTGGCAGTGGATAGTAGCAAGCGATCCAAGATAATTAAATGGAAGCAACGTCTTCTCTTCATCTTTTCTCGACTATATTTCCGCCCTCTTCTTCTTCTTCTTCTTTACCCACTTTTACCAACCCTCCACACCTTTTACCCCCCACAGAGCTCCTTTTCCTCGATTGTATCTCCTTCCAACCTTTTACATCACAACTTCCTTCTTCTACTCTTCTTCCTTCTTCTTATCCTCAACCCCAAACTATCTCACTCTCTCTTCTTACCACGTCTGGAAGCTCTGTTAGAACGCATACCACGTGAACGAGAGGATTCGGAGTAGGAATTCTCCGATATTTACGAGCGCTTTTGAGGGCGCGTTGCAATGCGAAACCGACTATGCTGATCCTTCGAACCGCTTGTATGCGAGTGAACGATCGTCGAAATACCATTTCGTTGATGGATAGAGAGGAAGCATTCGATTCTTGCCAGGTCTATCCTTCAATTGAACATTTTCCTAAAATTATCCCTTATCTCACACTTATGACTTAATCAATTTTGTTTCAGAATATCTTTCTTTACGTTTTAATTATTATTAACGTAATATCATTTTTAAAATTTTAAGAATTCCTATTATAAATATACATATGATGATGTAGTTATGATTTTACATTTGCTTCGAACGAGTATGCATATTCATCAATAAGATTCATTTTAATGATTTTGGAAATTTTTTTTACTTTCAACTAAATTGGGCTATTATATTATCTTTTTAAACGTTCGAATTTTTTATATAACACTATTCATGATTTTTATTAATTTAATTAAGACTAATTTGTTTAATATTGATTATATACTATTCTAAATTTGTAATAAAATTAAAAATTAGTCCTATTATTTGTAAGTATATAAATTGCATTTATTATTTGAGTCAACGACCTAGCCACGTTGGATTATTAGTTTCCGATCGATTATTAAAGTCAAGAAACCTGGACATAATTATTGAAGTGGATAAGTAACCCTTTCGGATAAAACAAGAATCGCATGTTGTTAACTCCTCAGAAAAGGGATAACAAAACGCGACTTCCTTGATAGTATTGAATAAGTGTAAGAATAAGTGTTAATTAAAGAAATAACTTGAACCCGTAAAAGGAAGAGTAAAAGGCCAAGAAAGATATATTTATTATTTTAAATAATAAAATATATATTTTGATTTTTATGTATATATCTGTAAGAAAAGGATAAAATTTGAATGTAATATTTTTTCTGTAATTACAAAGAAACGACATAGATTCCTCTATGAATAAAATGACTTGTTAGTCTCGTAGGTAGCGTTAACGAACCGTCAAGTTTTCGGGTCAGTAGGCTAGTGCCCTTATCGTGATAAAAATAGAATCGCCAGATTCTACGCGACACGGATTTGTTCGGGAGTACCTTTGCGAGTGAAATTATTCACAGTACGATGACCGACAAAGAGCATTGTTTCGCGTTTGTTGTCCATCCACGGGGTATGTACCCTAATCGCACTAGATTATGCTAGTCCTACACAGAAAGCTTCTACGCTCGAGAGACGGAAAGACGACTTAGAGAGAGAGAGAAAGAGAGAGAGAGAATAGGAGAAGAGGGGAGGAGAACTCTGTGATTAACTTTGCATCGTCCTCGTGTTCTACCTTGGAACTATTTCAAAAGGAAACTCACATCGTGTGCTACAAGTTTTAATTCATTTGTATTCCCCTTTCTCTCTCTTTCTATTTCTCATTCCACTTCTCTTTTATTCTATTCTAATGATATAAAAAAAATGGTGTTAATCAATATGTCATATGTTATAATAACAATTTTGTCTGTTTCAATTGACCAAGTAATGGTTTCAAGTAAATTTCATAATGTTGCTCGTTGTTGCAGATAATTAAATGCAAGAATGTATTTTTCACGATAAATAAACTTATAGATTATACACGTATGTATGTACGGAATAATTCTGGAACTTATTATAAATATTAATAATGCATAGAAGCATTTATCGATATTTTCATCGAATGATTATTCTGATAGTTAAATAGTTCCTGGACATAATTCTATCC